TCGGAAAGCAGCAGCCAAGACAATGAGTGTAACCGGTGAAAATGTTAGGTTGAAACAATGCAGAAACAATACACGGTAACACTCTAGATGCCTTAAAATGCCCCATTGCTAATTCAGATTCCTGGCTCCTGGCCAGCCTCAGGGAGAGTTCTCTCTTTAGCAGACAATGTTTCAGGAGCTGATTAGGTAAACAAACTAATATGATGAATGGAGATAACAAGGACACATTGAGTTTCACATCCCTTTGCAAAATGAGAGATTCCTCCTACTACAATTTGCTCTTCTGCATCATCAATAATCCAAAGAAGTGTCAGTCATCATTTGTGATTCAGAGGAGGAAACTGGCAAGAATAACCTTGCCAGTCTGGACTTAGAAATGCTGCAACCCTGCAGTCGAGCACAGAGTGCTTCAGCTTTTACTGCTTTGGACAGTGGGCACTGAGGATGAGAAACAGATGATGCTGAAGGTTAGAAACATCCCCATTTTTAAGGCTTTGCAATACCACTGATTTTGGTATGGGGGCCTCAGAAGAACAAGCATCTGGAGCAAGAATCTAGGAGATGACACTGAAGGTGCTGTTGTTTGCTGCTGTCTTGCTCCATAGGCTGTGGCTGCTCTTGGAGAAGACTGTCAGTGTGATGTGCCCAGTGGGTTAGAGAACGTGATGCTCAGCTCTGACCAGATGATAGGGTTTGAGTTGAGGGGCAGACCCTCTCTGAGTGAGGTGTTGTGCTACCCCCCTCTGTTTGCCTGCTTCATACTTAGAGCAGTTTGCTGTTGTAGCTTTTCTATGCCTAGAGGACCAAAGCCCAGGGATATGGAGGAGCCTGCAGGTTCTGCAGGGTGTGCAGGCATACCCAGTTTGCAGCATGCAGTGAGCAATTTCTTATCCTGCTGCTGGTGCACAGAGGGTGTCTGGCAGCCCTGTCAGATGTACAGTTGGCTGCTGCCCCCAGCTTGGCCATGGCAGGTGACCACCCCAGGTCCAGCCCTTGGTGTATGAAGAGCTGCACTTATGGCACCTCAGGAAAAGCCCAGGAGAGGGCTTTGGACTGCTAAACAGCAAGCATGGGCTGAACTTAGATGCTAACACATCCGGTGGATAGCAAGACAAACCTGTCCTATTTACTCAGTGGCCCATTTTTTGAGAATACGATTCATGGGACAAGCTTCCCGTGTTTCACAGAGGGTGCACATGTGGTAATAAAAAGCTGTAAATCATCTTAAGATGTAGCATACTTGTCCAAAAGACACCTCTGAGCATCAGATTGTCATAGCTTTGCACGAATGCCTGACATGATTCAGTCTAAAATTAATCAGTGGGTTTTATCACTGCTTGTGAAGTATGGAAAGACAAACACAGCCTTTTCACCGTACTCTGGGCTGTGCAATGAAGAACCAGATGAGAGCAAGCGGGAAGCAAGGTGCATGGTACACAGTCATGTCAACAAAGCATTTCACAAAGCTGAGCTGATCCATATGATGGGATGGGGCAAGAGGAAATACGGACAAATCTAAACATTTCTTGAGCAGGCTGAATTTTACAGAGCCAATGGAAGTGGTAGAGTAGATATCTCCAAGCAAAGACAACAAGCAGCCTAAGAAGACACAGAATACCAAAATCACAAGTCAACGTAAGTGTAACAGTGAAACTCTCTCCAGGAAAAGTGACATGCTAATAATAAGTAACAGCATATTTGGAAGTTGTGATTGATGTACCAACACGGCCAAAAATACCTCAGAATTACTAAAACTGGCACTTAATTCAGCTCAGAATCAAGGTACAGGAAAATTCTGGAAACACATTGGGAAATTTGAAGAAGGCAGCAAGATCTCTCACAATAAAGTCGTACTGATGGAAAAATCTCGATAAAAACAAAATCCCAGGAACAGACCACAGGGAATAATTTTGCTGGTGTGAAATGGCATGAGTGCTGTCAGTGTACTCCTCAGGATGGGCTTCCGGCAGAGGTGCTGGGCTGGGGTCTGATCCCAGCAATATTGAGTACTGAGTATTGAGCACCATTGGTTTCACTTGACTTCATGCCTGAGATGAAGCCAGGGCTTTTGGTATTAAAGCAAGATGGTCAGTCCTCCTGGATTCTCTTCTAAAAATTCTGGGATTTCAAACTTTTCCTTTTCCCTAGTCAAAACCAAGATGAAATTCCCATTAAATGACAAAAGTTGGTTTGGGAAATCTCAGAATGATTTTAGCGAGGTGTTGATGTAATTTTGATTTTCCTATTTGGCTTTAAAGCATAGATTTTGCATGTCTTATGCAGCTGAAATTCAAATACAGCATTCAGAAGAAGACCATAGATAATTTTGATTACACTTCCACTGGCTGGACGCAGTTTTTCCTGTGCGATTGAATCAGCATTTTTTGATTGAAATTTTTCCACCAGCTCTAGTCAAAATTGGGCTGCCAGCTGGCAAAGCTTCTGCTGTCTCTGACATTTGCATGGTTCTGCCATGGGAAAGGGGATGCTCCAGTGCAGCAGGTTTAGTGGCAGTGGGCAGCACTGAGGCAGGCTGAGACCTGGCCAGAGAGAAGGGCAGGGGAGCATGAAGTGTGGGGGAATATGTCTGGGGCATCAAGGCAGGAGGAAGGGGAAGGGAAGAGATGGAAAAAGGATCGGTGAAGAGGCAACTGGGTAAAAGAGGACTGAGAGCTTAAAGTTTCCCACTTGATACTTAATGGAAAAAACCTGCTCCTGGCTGAGATCCCAGGTATGGCAACTGGTGGCAAAACCAGCTGTGTATAGCAGAGCCCTGTACATGGAAAGGTGTTGCTGCAGCCCAAAACCAAGGCAGATTTTCAGGCACAAGTGCATGGGTTGTGCAGGAATTTCTCCCTAAAGCCAAGGGGGAGAGAGAGAGAGAGAGAGAGAGAGAGAAGGTCTGTGGTGAGGGATGTGACTGTACTGGTTTATCCAGGGCAGAACAAGCAGGATTCCTTTCCCAGTCTGTGGGTCAAGCTGCCCCCTCGCAGCATGGAAGTGTCTAGGTGGCTGCCCTAGTCTGATGGGTGAGAAGGAACTGCAGGGATTTGGGTATCCGCTCCAGCTCTGCCCTCTGGGAGTGGAGAAGCACATGGCCTGGAGTGGGAGACCCTGTCAGTGCCCTGCTGGCTGCACCGCTGAGCCAACCCGTGTGCCAGGCAGGCAAGGAGGAGAGGGCAGAGACAGGGAGCTGTGCACTCCTGAGGGTCCTTGCTCAGGCCCCGGTAGATTCACAGCCATCTATGGTCCAGGGGTTATATATTGGCGTCTGAAAGTGTAAATCAGACTGTTTATCATGCAGAGGAGGTAACGTGATGAAGCAGCCTGGCTGTAAAATTTCTCTGACACGCACAGAGTGTCTTCTGCTGGGACAAGCTGGGATCACTGCCGCTGGGACCTCCACCTCAACCACCCTGCAGAGCTTCCTGTGGGGCCAGGCCAGCAGGGCTCCCAGGAACCACCAAGGCTGAATGTCACCAGTGCTAGCAAGCCACCCACCCACACTGCAGCTCTGTCCCCATAAGGCTTCAGTGCTGGGCAGGAAGAAGAGGCTGGCTTGCCCTGACAACTGAGAGCAGGACATCACTCTGTGGCACCAGTTTTGTGGTCCTCAAGGCAGGGCTGGGGGTCTGCCCCACTCCTCCTGTGCTCCCTACTGCAGCCTGAGCTCCCCCACCGCTATGGGTGGTGGGGACAACAGAGGGTTAAGCTGTCAGTTCTGTAATGTTAAACAGGTGTCAAAGGCACCTCCATATATCTGCAGATTGAAATCAAATTCTTTGCAGTATAAAAAGATAAATTACCCAGGCGATTCCCGCCTCATCCCACTCATCAGGCCAGCGCCAGACGGCAAGCAATTTTTTTTTTTAATGTGCTAACGACCTAATCAAGCAATCAAGTCGGAGAAGATTGCAGAGTGACCCCGAGCATCCATCTGCCAACGAGACCCCGCCATTCATTTCCATTCTGCCGTGTACTTTCCGGGAAAGGGAGGGGAAAAAATAGAAAAGAAAAAAAAAATCCTAAACAAATTAACACCCAATTTTCTGTGAGTCTAATTAGTTAAATGAGGAGGTGTTTGGGGTGTCCGTGGGGAGGGAGGGGCTGTCTCTCGGAGAGGGGCCTGGTAACTCCCTGGCATTAATTAGCGCGGGTCAATGGCGTGGTTCCCTGGGGACCAGCTGCTTTAATTTCCCGTGATATTTCAGTGCCTGAGGCCCATCGATTCAAACTGAAATTAACTTATTTTTCAATCAGGCCTGGGCTGCCCCTGGGGCTGACTCTTCCTTTGCCTCCTTCTGAATAGACCTCGAGCAATTTTTCATCTAAAGCTGATGCTTCTGCTCGGTGGGAAGGGAGGGGAGCTGGGGAGGGAGGAGGGTGAGGGAGACAAGAGGAATGGAAATCGGAGAGAGAGTGCACTAATAGATTTCTGCGAGCATCCCCCACCACATCCCCACCGTTGCTGCCTGCCTCTCTGCTTGCTGCCCCCCAGGTCACAGCTCAGAGATTATTCTGCCAATTTTCTGAGAAGATGAGGGACTTTTCAAACTGGGAATTCAGGGCGAAGCGCACAGATCAGCTTCCCCCTTCTCCCTCCCCTTCTGAGCATCCGCCCCCATCCCAGCCCTCTCTGCAGGCACCGCTGCCCACAGCCCCACGCCACAGCTCAGACACCCAGTAAATAATGAAAGAAAATCCCAGGCACAAGAGGCAAAAGCTGCTAGAAGAAGGTGCCGTGATGGCAAATTAATTGCATCCTGCAGAGAGGGATGGGCTCTGCTCTCATGGTTGGCCCTCGCTGCTGCTTCAGGGGAGGCAGGGAGAGAGAGATGGTGGTTGCTGCATGGGGAAAGAGGTTGCGGTGCTTTTGGGATGAGCACCCACGCATCTGCCTTCATCTCTCTGCAAAAGCACATGTGTGTTCCCACACAAGAGGGGACTGGCATGCCTTCTCCCCCTGACAACCCCGTGTCTGTCCTTGTCACCCGCCCCAGGTTTGGTTCCAGAACCGCCGGGCCAAATGGCGGAAGAGGGAGAAGTGCTGGGGCAGGAGCAGTGTGATGGCTGAGTACGGGCTCTACGGTGCCATGGTGCGTCACTCCATCCCGCTGCCCGAGTCCATCCTCAAGTCTGCCAAGGATGGCATCATGGAGTCCTGCGCCCCTTGGCTCCTGGGTAAGAGAGCAGCTGCCTTTGTGGGGGATGGCAGGTGGGTCAAGATGAAGTGGGGAGATGTGAGGAAGAAACCAGAGCCATGTCAAAAATATGGGTGAAGGGTGGTGGTAGGAGGTCCCCATGTCCTGCTGCCCTCCACCCCCCTGCCCGTACCAAAACAGCCCACATCAATAAGATCTGACTGCTCATCCCAAATCCCTGCTGGTCCTTGAATCCTGACCTGCAGGATATGGCTGGGGCAGCAACTTGCCCCCCCCATGGTGGGTTGTTAACTTTCAACTGCTGTGGCATGAACATCCCCCATGCCCAGTGCTGGAGCAGGGGCTCCAGCCCTTCCCCAAGGCAGAAGGTCATCCCAGCCTGACTTCCCCGGCTCTGTGATGATGTGTGGGGTGCTGGAAACCCCAACTGCACTCTTCTTGCCCCAAGTCCCAAGGGGAACAGGCTGCTTCCTCCTCCTGTTCTCAGCACCTGGAGAAGCTCCATTTCTGCCTGGTTTCAGCTGATTTTCTGTGGAGAGACAAAAGTAGTAGCTACCCTACCACACTCCTGCTCTTTGCTTCCCACTTTCTGACCTTTCAGGCTGGTTCTGTCCCAAATCCGGTGTCTGGCATCTTGACAATGGGCTGTCCTGTCTTTCTGTCTGTGTGAAACTGAGAGAAGCAGAGGGATGGGCTGTGTGAGGAGTGGGTTGATACGGGAGTAGGCAATGGGGGGCTCTCTCCCCCCAGTCTCGGTGAAGCTCAGGCAACTGTGCTGCTGTCTGAGCCCCTTGCCCCCATGTGGAGACAAGTTAGCTTTAGGCTCACAGAGAGAAACGAAGGGGAGAGTAACTCTAGACCTCTGGGGGCAGCCCCAAGGACATGGATGCTGGTGCTGGGCTGCCCCAGCAGGCAGCTGCCTTGCCTGGGCTGCCTTCATACAGGGGCCATAGCGACCGGCTCGCCGTGACTGCTGCGTGAAGCGAGGGTTTCTGCTTTTCCTTAATTCTGGCCTCTCTTTATCTTTGCTGTTTTCAGTTCAAGATGGCTTTCCCATGCCCAGGCGCTTTTCTAAACCCGAATACCAACAATTCTTTTTAGGGATGCACAAAAAGTCTCTGGAGGCAGCGGCTGAGGCGGGGAGGAAGACGGAGGTGGAGCGCCAGGCCCTGCCCAAGCTTGACAAAGGTGACAAGGAAGAGAGGGGCCCAGATCCCAAAACCACCATTTCCCAGGAGGAACTGAGAGAAAACAGCATTGCTGCCCTCAGGGCCAAAGCTCAGGAGCACAGCACCAAAGTCCTGGGGACCATCACAGCTGGGGACACCTCAGCCCAGGGCAGGAAGCCAGAGACAGGGGAGGAAGCGGCAGCAGCAGAGGATGAGAGACAGACGGAGAAGTTGAACTTGTCGCAGAAGGAGGAGAAGCTGATCTAGGGGGGGAAGAGGTGGCGGAAGCCAGACCCAACAGACACTGTGTCCTCCAGGGGCTGCGTTCCCCTCAGACTGCCAGGCCCCCCGGCCGCCCCTGCCTGGGGAGCAGGACCCTGGTCTCTGTGTTTGAGGCTGCCTGGAAGGGCTGCCCCCGCCTGGTCCCCTCAAGCGTACCCTTACCCCTTGCTCCTCCACCCCACTGGGCATTCCTCACCTGCCCAACCCTTCCTATTGGGGGACCGGGAAGTGCCCCATCATCGTCTCCACCTGAGAGGACATCGAGGCTGTGGATCCTTTTGGCCTCTCATGACCAGCTCTGGGGGTCTCTCCACCTGCAGAAGCCCCAGACCCCAACCGTCACTTTGGATCAAGTCTGTCCCCTGCCACCATGCCCCTCCTTGGTGCATGTCCCTCCCCAGTGCTGCCTGGGCCCTTTCCTCTGGCGCTCTCTCCCACCATGCCCCAGGCAGAACCACCATCTTCCCCTGGCCATCACTTCTGCCTCTGGCCCGAGCTGCAGTGGGACCAGCCCATGGCAGTGTGTGCATGAAATGGCAACTCTCTGTCCTGGGTGTTTTGCACCTTCCATTTCTCTCTCCCTGCCCGGCACTGGGGTCTGCTGGAAGGGGCTGCAGCGGCCTTAGAGTGGCTGAGCTTTTGCTTCTGTTTGGCAGGGAGAGGCAGATTTAGCCTCTGGGTGTGACAGCTTGGTCCAACCTGGCACCTCGAGGTGACCCCAGACCACATCACTGTCTCCCCACTGGCCCATTGCTGGTCACCACAGCTGGGTCTTTCTTTGCCCTAAATGCCAAAGCCCTGCATCCTGCAGGGGGACCAAATGGTGAATTTAGTTACTGAATACATTATTCCCAGCAACACAACAACATCGGCCCAATGTATTTATTGAATTAAATTTGTCCATCTCAGTCTCTGAGTGTTAAAGGGAATGACAGCCATGCACATGCATCCCGATACAGCTCGTAACATGTACATATATCTCCTAGCTGGCCCCATACGAGCACATGCAGACCCACGCAGCCAAACCCGCTCCGTGGTACCAATGCCTTCCCATCCCAGTAAGGCGTTATTTCCCCCCAAAAGCTGTAGGACAGTGACTTCCAGGCAACCCTTTCTGTCCTGCTTTCAGCTATGACTGTTTTTCTTCCGTCAAAGGTTAAGTCCCTCCATCTAGCCCCCGTTTGTCTTTGTCCCACAGTCGTTTGACGTGTTAGATGATAGCCCATGGTGTGTAAATAATGTATATACAGTGAGAAAATAATTCAGTATTGAGGTGTTTGAGATATGGAGCTGTAACAACTTCTAGTTATCCAGCATCTGTGATTTATGTGCCATTTTCTGTAAAGATATGAACAAAATTAAAACTAAACAGTATTACTGTGTGTGAGTCCAGTCACCAATGTTCAAGGAGGGTGAATTTAGCCAAAGCTGAGAGGGGGTCGGATGTCAGGCCATAGCCAGAGAGATGTGGGAGGCCCAAAGTGACCCAGAGAGAGGTCTGGCCCTTCCTCCCCATTCAGGCATGGAGAAGATGGGACATGGGTGCTGCTCTTCCTTTGCAGTGAAAGACAAAGCTGAAAGAGGTGTGCCCGTACGTGGGGTAGAAGTTAGGTGTCATGGCACACTTCAGCATCCAGAACAACCCTGGTGATTTGGGTCACCCCATATCATACACATCTTTCAGAGAAGGAACTGAGATTTGCCTGCCCTGCTAAGGAAAAACCTGATGCCTTACAGGGGAAAAAGGCTGAGGTAGAGCAGATGTGAAGTGGAAATGAGAGACTTTGCTTGTGGAAGGACAGGGCTGCTTGAGCTTAACTTTGTGGAGGGGCTGTAAGCCCACAAGACTGCATTCCCCCGAGGGGACAGAGCCCTGGGAGGTCCTAATCTAGCTCTGGGGGCAGCTTTGATACAAACCAGATGTGTGGTCTCGGATGAGTGCACCTGCCATCAAATAGTGCCTGTCTTCCATATTGGTGTCCAGCCTGCTCACCAAATGTACCAGCCCTGCAGCTCATGAGTGGTGTCACACTATGAAGAAAAAAGAGGAGATCTACTAACCCCCTTGTCTCTGCTGTTGATCCTATTAGTGTGCCTGGCTGAGAACAACCCTGCTTGCAAGGAGAGCTTTATTATGCTCTTCTCTTGTGTGCCCTAGGAAGGGAGGGGAACTTGATCAATGAAATTAAGGAAACCTACAAGCTCAGCCTTAAAAAACACTATCTATATAGGGCCCGAATGAAAGGAAAGCAGAAAAAACTGTTTGGAGGCAGGGAGGCAGTTAGCTGTGCTACACTGGGTGGTAGGAGGTCTCAGCATGAGGAGATGGGCTGCGGTGTTTTATGCAAAACCACCATGCCCTGCTCCACCATGGCCTCATGGAGTGCTCCCAGTCCACCCCGTGGTACAGACCTGTGTGAAGTGTTTGGAAGAAGGCAGAAAGCCCATCCCAGCTTGCTGGAGGGGACAGCTCTGATAGCTGACCAGCAGTGAGGTGGGATGGGATTCAGTGTCCCTCTCCTGAAGCAGCAACAGGAGAAAAACCTTCCCTGGCCCACTGGAGAGAGCATAGCATAGTGATCTGCAGGGAATGGGCCTTGCATGGACGGCACCCTAACGTTTACTGGGGAGCTGCCCTGAGCTGCCCTTATGCCTGGTGGAGGACCAAGGGGCTGCAGCCAGGAGGCTGTGGGGAGCAAGGGGATGGGAATGAGTAGAGGAAGGTGGGAAGGAGGTGGGTTGGGGCAAAGCAGAGGGGTCTGGGGATGCAGCCCAGCCTCTGGAGAGTGGGAACATGAACGGGCTGGTCAAGCCTGGCTCAGGCACCTTGGCCACTGTGAGGAGCCCAGGCACCTGCTGAAGCTGGCTCCTGTTCAAGAGCAGCCGTCAGGACTCAGATTAGCATGAAGGTTATTTTCAGTTAAATATTTCTACAGCCAACCCCTTCCCCCACCCTTAAAGGGATTGAATTTCTTTTTCCTGTAGTGCTCTGGAAGAGAGGAGAGGAACGGGGGGAAGAAGGGAGGAGGTATGCCCAGGCTCCCTGCACAGGAGAGCTGCTTTCTGTTCAGTCAGCCCAGGGCGACATAGCCCCAGCTCCCACAGGGGCCCATCTTGCCCTGACTGGGTGTCTTGGGCAGCTGTGAGGGCTCCAGGCACCCATCTCCTCGGTGAGAAGCAGGTGCCCAGCAATGATGGCCAGGCTGCTGGCCAGGGTTTGCTGCCCCAAAGCTCTTCCTCAGGCTCCCAGATGTCCCCCTGGGTCAGTGGATGCCCGAGCCTGGAGCCATGGGCCACTCACCGCCTACATGCCCGAAGCTGCGGCCTTCCCCAGACTCAAGGACCACCAAGGCTTGTACAAGGTGTCAGTGGAGCAGGGGGACATCTTCTGGGGAGCGCTAGGGAGGAGTCGGCTCACATGGATCACCCCCTTCCACTCTGTTCAGGACTGCGACCTGCACCAGGGCAGGGTCTCCTGGTTCCTGGGAGGGCAGCTGAATGTGGCAGGTAAGGAGGGAGATGGAGATGGGAGCTCACCAAGTGCCTGCGGGTGCCTCTCTGTGAAGGGCTTTGGCTCTGGGAGCAGATTGGAGGAGCACAAAGTTAAAGGGCTGGAGTGAGAGGGATTCCCCAAAAGGTCCAATTGGTCCCAGTTGCTGTAGTGTAAGGATGTGGCTGGTCCTAAAGGAACAATGAGGTCTCACTTCAGGGGCTGCAGCTGGATCAGGGTATGCTGGGAGCCAGGCTGCTGTCCTTCAGCCTCTATGGATCCCACAGCAGCTCAGCAGCTCTGTTCTGCAGGACCACAGGCACCAGCACCAAAGCCTGTGCATTCAGCAGGCAGTGTTGCTCTAGGATATCCCTGCCCAGCCAAGGCACTGAGTATCTGCAGAAAGGAAAGTACAGGAGCAATGCGCGGTACTGGAAGACCCCACAGCCGTGGGAGGCTCTTCTTCTGCAGGCTGGGGCTACTGTCTCAGGGGCTTCCCAGGGGAAGACATCGGGGCTGGTGACGCCGTGTCCTGCGTACAGTGCTGTTGGTCCAAATGGTCAGAGTATGAGGCAAACTTCTCAGAAATCAGGTCTTACACAGTCCATTTGGGCAGGAAAGCAGCAGTTATTTGCCTTTGGGATGTGAGATCCTACTGTTCCTGCTTTCTCTCCTGGAAAACTGGTCAGGAGAAAAGAGTATTATGGTATTCAAACTGGGATGCTGCATCATCCCATGACCTCAGTAGAAGGTTTAAGGAAAACAAGAGTGGAACGAGACTTCTGTGGAAACAGCAGCTGCCAGCAACATGGGAAACTTTTCTCAGAATTACAGCCAAAGCCTCAGCCTACCATGTGGCTGGAAAGCCAGGGGCTGTGCGCTCCTGTCCCTGGCTCTCTTCCATCTTGGGCAAACGCACCCTGCAATCTTCCTCTGCAGACTCTCATCCTACATTTGTTTTTTAGGAGCACCACTACTAAAAAACTGCCTTAGTCCACCCCAGCGGCAGCTGCAAGGCAGTGCTGGGTGGAGTAATTGTTGTGTTAATGTTTGCCAGGCTCTCTGAGAGCACCAGAGATGTGACCTCCAAAGGGACTTCAGGCAGTTTCTGCTCTGGACTGTATTAGGTTGCAGTGAAGGGGGAAGCCAACAGTGGGAATTTGTAGGTGTTGGAGTGGTGAGGAGTGTAATGGGTTTAGGATGGTAGCTGTGATCCGCCAGCTGGTACCCACAAAGGTTATTTTGTGGATGCACAAGGCTAATGCAGAAAAGACTCTCACACAGCCCTGACTCTGACCTGAAAACAGGATGGCCAGTGCTGGCCTTAAGGGAGTTTAGAGGTACTGAGGGCAGCTCTGGCAGTAAGACTGAGTTGTCTTTTCCAGTGAATTGTCTGGACCGACACGTCCATGTAGCCCCAGACAAAGTGGCTTTAATCTGGGAGAAGGATGAGCCAGGAGAGGAGGTGCGAGTCACATACAGGTCAGTACTTAGGAATGAGAGGTGGATGTTTGCGGCGGGCGTGAACACTGCATGGGGCTG